ACGTACGCGGTCAACATGCTGGCGGCGTGCCACGCGCTGCACCTCCTGCAGGTGGCGGACCGGGAGTCGCACGCCGTGGCCGAGGCGCGGGAGACGGCGGCGCGGCTGCAGCGGGAGCGGCGCGCCGTCGGACGCGTCTTCGAGACGAGCCGCGACATGTACGAGGTGCTGCGCCTGACGATGGACCTGTGGCGGAGCAACAAGGACGACATGGACGCGTACCTGCACGGCCTCAAGCAAAAGTACCGCGCCATCGGCGGGCTGCAGCAGGACTGCGAGGACTATGTCGACGTGGGCCACGTCGAGGACACGGTCGAGGAGACGCTGCAGATGATGCAGGCGTGCCAGCACAGGTTCGAGGAGGCGCAGAAGAAGTGGTGGGATGCGAAGCAGGAGTATCAGAGCGAGCAGCCGGATCTGCGTATGAGTTCTCCTGAGGACTATGGTGTCGATTCTGAGTAGTGTGCATGCTCAAGGCCTGACCTGGAGGCTGTGATAGTGTTAGATGAACAGATAACCAGTACTAAATATACTTCGGCATTCATATATACTTTAGCCTGGCAGCAGTGGGTGTCATGTTTTACCAAAGGAACTTGACCTATTTTCCACCGTCCTGAGCATCCATGTGGCACTCATCGCAAGACGTTGTTTGTAGTCATCGCCGTCGCACATTATCGCCAACACTTTAGCTTTTCTGCTGTCATCTTCGGGAGTACATCTATCCATTGGGCGAAGACTACAAAGAAAAGAAAGGTTGCTGCCGACAGTTTTCTGACATTCGGCCACTCAATAAAAGCCTCGGTACACGAGAGCTTCCTTTGTAAGTTGCCGCCACCTGAGCAAGACTGCGTCAGTCGTGTGAATCCGGGCTGAGTAACTGCACGACTGGCGACCCAGGCAAAGTGACTTGTTAGATGACGATTATCCAATTCACTGCGCCTACTGTGCCTAATAAGCAACACGTGTGCCGGCGGCAGTGAATGGCGAGAGTAACGTTCTTCCCGTTACTGCAAACGGCGGGTGGCCAGCAAACGTATAAATGCTTCGTCAGGTCGAACCCTGCGGGAATTTGGACACATGTTCTTTCCTTTCACATCACCACCTTTCTGGATATCTTTGTCCTACAGAGTGCTTCGAAGATCTTGCGGCTCTTCAGAGCTGCCACACGTTACCCTCTCCGCGTTCTGATTTCGATTTGGTTTCCTGAAGAAACTCACGCCCATGCAAACCACAGATTTCTTACGTTAACCTGCCAAAAGAGCGTCGACATCAACCCAGCGAGGAGGTACGTCAGGCCATTAGGCAGTGCTGGTGCTTTGTTCTATGGGGTTTCATGGGTGCTTTCCAACTGACCTTCTTTTCAGCTGCTCTTATCTATCCGGTCTTGCGTCTCGATACAGAATTATGGCAGCCGAGCACTTCCGAATCGTTAAGGATCGGATAATAGACCACTTCTATTCGGCAGGACACACCTCAGTCGACGGAAAAGAAACTGACACGGACCATCCACTCCATGACCTCTTCGCAGAAACTTATCGTCTGGCTGAGAAAATCCTTTGCTTCGATAATTTATACTGCCAAAATCTCGAAGACATTACGAGGTGTCGACGAGAAATATGCCGTCGACTTGACGATGCCGAAGAGGTGTACGCGACGAAAGGCACCACGGCGGCGCCGAAGGACCTTGAGGTCCGCCTTAAGGAATCTCTGCCTGACCATGCCATACTCTTGGCTATGCGATTCGCCACAATCAACAAGAGCGAAAACGTGGATATCATCAACCGACTCGCAAGGATGAATGCTCTCCACCTCTGGCAGGTGCCCTGGATCCAGGTCACAGGGGCGGGAATTGCCGTGGTCGACGTTGGCTCTGACACGAAGGGCATCTCGACCGAGAAGGCCGGCTCCAGCATTGGAAACGCGCTCGCAGTCGGCCTGACCGAGGTTCAACACCAAATCAAGGACGCCAAGAACGCCAAGGAGGACCTCGAAAAGCAGCTGGAAATTGTCGAACGGGTCGAGGCTGCGGCGCTCCAAGCTTCGGATGCCATTATGAAGGCCCAAAAGACATTGGCAACAATTCAATCTTTGAACTGCTGAGCTGGCCCATACGCCTGCTAAGAATGGACCTTTGAAATCACGAGAAAGGATAACGCACAAAAAAAAAGCCAAGGAAAAAGGCAAAGGAAACACGAAAAGGAAACATGCAAAGAAGGAATCAAAATACTCTATGGCTATAGTTGCTACATGAAATCAGACAAACTCTAGATCTACTATCCAAACACCAGGCAAAATGCATACATGCGCGTGAAATCGATTAAACCGCGACAAACGGTCCGCGGTACTTGAAGTGGGATGCCGCGCTCTTGTCGGCCGACGTCGTCGCAACCTGCTTGCGCTTGGGGAAACCATCAAAGGAGCGGGCATACGTAGCCACAGTGTGCGCAATAAGCTATTCACAAGTCAGCAACCCATCATCCAAAACCGCATACACATTCTCTCACCTTTGTGTTGGTCTCCCAGGCCTCCAGATTCAAGTTGCTCACGTCGTCGCCAATCTGGTGATAATTCTTATCGTACCACTCGCCCGCGACGCCGCCAAACAGCGCCACCTCGTGCGGCGTCTTGACGCCCTCAGCGCCGGTGCTCCAGCCGCCGGCGGGGATGCCATTGTCGATGAAGCCGACATAGTCGCTGCGGCCGTCAAACTGGCTAAACGTGTGGTTCAGGCCGTGGCTCGTGTACCAGTCGACGACGAGGTCGCGCAGCTCCTCGGAGCCGGCGGGGTTGGCCGCGTTGGTCGCATTGTACACCTGGTACGCGTAGTTGGGGCTGGCCAGCATGTCGAGGTCCACAAACACGCGCACCTTTTGGTTCTCGGCCGGCGACAGCGAGTTGGCGTAAAACGTCGAGCCAATCAGCCCCTCCTCCTCGGCCGACCACCACGCGAAGCGCACGCAGTTGCGCACCTTAAACCTGGTCAGCTGCACCGCAATCTCGAGCAGCGACAGCGAGCCGGAGCCGTCGTCGTTGATGCCCGGCCCGGCCTCGACGCTGTCGCTGTGGCCGCCGAGCACGACGCAGTTGTCGCCGTCGCCGGCCGTCGTCTGCGCAATGACATTCTTGGTATGAACCGTCTCTACCGCGGCGTCAATGTACGCAATCGCATCGATGCGCTCCCCGGCGACGAGCCGGCGCGCGAGCGCCGCGCCGCGGCTGTGCGTGATGCCAAACGTGGCCACCTGGTGCGGCGTCGGGTCGCCGAGGGTGCCGCTCACGTCCTCGTCGTCGGTGTTGTAGATGATGGCCGCCTTGGCGCCGGCCGCGCCCGCGAGCTCCGACTTGGTGCCGAACGCGCACTCGCCGCGCTGCACGAGCACAATACCGCCCTTGGCTGCCGCCGGGTAGTCGCCCGCCGCGCAGCCGGTGCTGGCGGCGAGTACGAGCGGCCCGTGGACGGGCTCGTTGCCCTTGGTCGGCGGAGTGCGGCTGAACGGGGTAGCGTCGGCGTAGACGGCGTCGCCGACGACGAGGTGCGACTCGTAGACGGTGCTGGTGACGACGGGGAACGTCTGCGTCGAGACGGTGTAGTACGTTCCGAGCGAGTGGAGCGTGTCGATGATGTACTTGATGGTGCCCTCGTGGCCTGTTTGTTGTCCATGTTAGTTGACGGATAGGGCACCAGACAGGGACACTGAGCTGACCTTTGCTGCCAATGACGCGCGTCGGGCGGTTAAAATCAGGCTCTGAGAGCCGGGCAATCTGGTACAGCTCGTCGGCGCGCTTGGACAGGTTCTCGATGCGCACGAGGTCCTGCAGCTTCTGCGAGTCGACGACGAGCGGCCGCGGGTGTCTAAGGGGGTTCTGGGCGGGTGGCAGCCCGACAGCCTGGACCGAGGCCGCGAAAGCAGCGGCCGCGAGAGCGATGCGGGTGATGGCAGGCATTTTGAATGTGATGAGCCAGAGAAGAGGGTAGGTGTAAAGAGAAGCGTGGAAAGGGGAAGAGAAGAAAGGTGAAGAGGGTGAAACAATCGCATCCGAGACGGGCGGGCGTCAGAGCGCAGCGGAATGGCGCCATTAGACTGTGAGGGCTTGATGCAGAACACTAACTATCGTACACTATCGTACCTGAGATCCCGCTACCCGTGCGGCTGGTTGGTGTGCGGCCCCAGGTCAGCAATAGCGGCTCACTCGTGAATTTAATATCAATACATATTTGCTGTATGCACCGACCTCTCATTTTTACTCCTCATCGTCGTAATACTCTTCCTCATCAGAAATATCCTGTCACTCAAGTCAGCAAACGGACTCGGATAGCGAGGCGCCGAGGCCAGCATGTCTGCGTCGTGCACCCTGTGGACTTCCGGGTCTGGTCGCTCATCCTTTTAATAATACTATTTACTTAGCTAATTTTTAATATTTAAAGTTCCCTTTTATTATTCTTAACTTATTAAAGACTTACCTTTATAAGAGAATAATATAGATTTACTTAGATAACTCCTTATTAAATACTCTTAGAATCTAGTAAGCAATTTTATAAGGCTTCTCTTTATTATTAATTCTATTTATTCTTTTTTTATTATCTTTATACTAAACCCTAACTAATATTTAAGGAATAATAACTATAAGGTTTACTAATAATACTAACCTTCTTAGTATAGCTATAAGGGTTAGGTTGGATTAGGTAGAAAAGTAAGGAAGGAAAAAGGTAGGTTATATTGCTTGTTAAGACTAAAGCTTATCCCCTTTTTTCTTCTAGGAAATATCCCCCTTATTTTATAATAACTAAAAGGAGGATAACCTGTCCTTTCGATTAGAGTTCGAATACTATTCGAATACTAATTGAAACTCGTACGAGTCGGTCCCGTTCCTACGGGTCCGCTCGGGGTCTCGATTCGGGCTCGACTCACGTGTGGGTCTCGCCAATCTCGTGACCGATTCTTCCTCGGGCTAACTCCGGGCGCCCCTTCGCCTTGTAGCTGATTAGTCATCTCGTACGATTCGCACTCGCCACGGATCCTCAGCCACCACGCGTCTAATGCTGGTGGCACCAACTTCGCCAGTAGCGTGTAGTCCCCCAATTGCCGGGGTTCCTCATAATCGTAGGTACCGAATCGGGTTCGATTCGGATCGCACCCATCGGGGTGTTACAATAGCCTTAACCTAAGACTAAGTTAAAGCCTAATTATAATAGGTATAGACTATTTATACTAAGTAGTTAGTAACTTATATCTTAATATTCTCTATTCTAAAATTCTAGCTTCTTGATCGCGCAACATAGTGACTCCTTCGCTGCCACCAGAATTTGTTGGCTCCAGCAGGTTGCCATGCCAACCATTGCTTGGGCGCGCTTCGGGTCCGGGTCCAATGGCGGCGTTGTGACCGGGAGGGTACATGTCCGATACTCATCTAAAATAGCTTTTCTCCCGTCTGCTCTTTTACATTCCAAGCACTTACCAAAAAGGGAACATTGCTCCTTCTAAGTTGCATCACGAGTCCTTGACACTAGCTACTCATTCTAGTGCGGCTGAACGTCGAGCGCGAGACATCGGGGCAAGTGGGCAGTCAGTCCTTCAGAAACCCGTCGCCGGTAAGAATGCTTTCTTTTCATTGTCAATGAACCTCTGTACGTCGAGTACGTTACTGAGACTGTTGTAGCAGCTAGGCCAACAACCATAAACTATGGGGTTGCTATCCGGTGCGCTGCGACCGCGGCAGCAACAACAACAATTACCAGTCTACCAACGGCCCACATCACCTTCGAAGGAGCAATACTCGGACGAAGACGACGACTACTATTCCGATGAAGAAGACATCCCCTCGTCCTCCTCACAGCCGAGCCACTCTGGTTACAGCTCACGGAGCGTCTCGGACACAATGAGCGGTCGTGGTAATGGTGGCCTGCTCCTTCCAAAACGACCCCAGAACAGGTCGGCAAAGGGCTATCTTAGCAGATATCGCTTTCGATTACCGACAAAATTGACACGATACGTGCTCCTCCTCGTCCTGGGTACCACATTTCTCTTCATCTTCTCGTTGGTACGGGCCAGCCAGGTCGAAAACTGGAAAGTTGTCAACGGCCAGGTACCGACACGGCCAGCACCTCCGCCGGCGTGGGAGAAGTTTCCCTTCCTGGAGCGATATTATGGTGGAATCAGAACGCTAGTGCCGCTCAACGAGAGCGAGCCTGAGTATCCCCGCGAGAACGAACCCATTCCTCTGGGGGGGCCTGGCTCGGGGGAGGGGGAAGCGGGGGATGAGGAGGATGAGAAGAGATCCGAAACGCAGACCGAGAGGAGGGTCGCGACTGTCGAGAAGAAGGCGGTTCCTCCGAGCATGGCCTGGAGCGACTATCATGATCGATCGGTAGAACCTGATGTAAAGGAGTGCTTCATTGATGCGGCAAATCAGATTCGGGTTCCTGAGCTCAGGTACTACACCGGCCGACCTCATGGCTTCCCGAGTCACATTGGTGGCTCATACGAAATGCTCAACCTGCCGGAAGACATCTGCTTCGAGCGATACGGCCGCTACGGTCCGTATGGCTTTGGCTACTCGTCTCGCCGAGGCGGTCTCGGCACAGGCGAGCACAGCGAAAACGAAGGCGCTGAACTGGTCTGGAACAACAGATCCCACGTGGACTTTAGGAACGTGGACTGGGCAGAGGCTCAGCGCCGCTGTTTGCGGTCCAACGCGCACAAGTTCAAGGCCGTACCGACCAGAAAGATTGGTTTTCAGGGATTTATCAATGCTGTGCCCGAGTCCGAGAAGAAACATAGACGTGAAGAGGCGGAGGCTGCCACGCCCACCTTGGCGACGGAGACGGAAGCAAAGGTATCCCCGGAAGGTTCCGAAACTGCTGGTAGCGACAGCATCACAAAGACTGGAAGGACCGCCATTGTTTTCCGCTGCTGGGACGAGTTCTTGTTCCGAGAGGACGACATTGCGAATCTACGATCAATGATTATGGAGCTCTCGCTCGGTTCTGGCGGCCGCTATGATGTGCATCTCCTCGTCCAGGTCAGGAATGACGCCGCCTACCCCGTCTGGGCGGACCAAGAAGCCTACGAGCAGCGCATTCGCAATGTCATCCCCAAAGAGTTTCAAGGCCTCGTTACATTGTGGACCGAGACGCAAATGCTCTCGCTCTACCAGGGCATCCACGACAAGTGGACGGTCGGACCGGATCATTCCGTCCACGGCTCCTACCGCGGCCTTGTCATGGCCATGCAACACTTTGCCTACCTCCACCCCGAGTACGACCACTTCTGGCACTGGGAGATGGATGTCCGCTACACCGGCCACTACTACGACCTGCTCACCAAGATTGAGTCGTGGGCCAAAGAGCAGCCGCGTAAAGGCCTGTGGGAGCGCAACGCGCGCTTCTACATCCCCGCGACGCACGGCTCGTGGGACGACTTTAAGCACCTCGCACGTGTGCAGACGGAGACGGGTACGGTATCAGCAGACAATATCTGGGGCAACCTACCTACACAGAACGAGGGCCCGTCGTCGCAGCCACGCAAGGGCGATCGTTCTGTCTGGGGCCCGGTCCGGCCCGGCGATGAGAACGACTGGTTCGAGCACGAAGACGACCCCGTGCCACCGACGACGTACGAGAGCGACAAGTATCAGTGGGGCGTCGGCGAAGAGGCCGACTTCATTACCCTCAACCCCATGTTCAACCCCGAGGGCACGACGTGGGGCCTGCGCGACGACATTACCGGCTTCAACGAGTCGCATCCGCTGCCGCCGCGCCGCGCGAGCATCATCACGACGTCGCGAATGAGCCGCCGGCTGCTCCTAGCGATGCACCGCGCGACGACGTTCAAAAAGCAGTTTGCCTTTGCCGAGATGTGGCCGGCGACCATGGCGTTGCAGCACGGGTACAAGGCCGTCTTTGTGCCGCACCCGCTCTTTGTCGACCGCAAGTGGCCCGTCGAGTACCTGGCGAGCACGCTCAACGCGGGCCACAACGGCGCGGCCGGCGGTGCCCGCGCCAGCGTCTACGGTGCCCGCGAGCACAACCTCCGCGGCCTCTCGTGGTTTTACAACACAGGCTTCGCGCCCAACCTGTACCGCCGCTGGCTCGGCCTGCGCGTGAACAATGACGGCGGTGACGAGTTTGAAAAGACGGAAGACACGAGCCGGCAGGGCATGGGTGTCGGCGCCATGCCCGGTGGCGAGGGCCGCATGTGCCTCCCTCCCATGCTGCTGCATCCCATCAAGGAGGTGGAACTCGCGGTCGAGGCACCCCCAGAGGAGGGCGAGGAGGAGCTCGAGTCGGACCCTACGGCTTGAAGGAAAGTAAAGGATACCCCCTCTTGTCATTTTGTTCTTTATTTGCCATGTTGAGCATGTAGGTCGTTTATTGTTGAGAGCTCTGATGCAGAGTTGAAGCGCAATTTAGCATGATTTTACGATCCCAAGTACTCAAGCACAAGTAGTCCATACACTCGGTATCCATTCTCTCCCATGCCTTTCAAATAATACAGGCGGCTTAAAACGTCGTAGCTTTCTCCCAAACATTTTTCCATCCCATCATTGTCCCCTCCTTGTACGCCTGCTTTGTGTGTGGTTTCCTCGCAACAAGCTCTTATGACAAGTTGCGGGTAATTAATAAGAGCTGATTCCCCCAGTTTATGAAACATGCGGCCCTCGAGGCCGAATTTTCTTTGAGGCGTTCACTTTGTTTCAGTGTCGGTGCTTTGCAAAAAGATGACATCAATATCTCCTAGTCCCTGTTCTACAACATGTTTTCCATGCGATGGAGAAGAGAGTCTTAGACAACACGCTTGACCTCGAAGAAGCGACGGAGCCACCAGACCTGGAAGAGGGACTCGCCGACGACAACGCCAATAACGAAGATGTTCCACCACTTGACGCGGCCATTTGTGCTCTCGGCGGTGTTGCGGTGGGTGCGTTCGCGCATGACGATGTACTGCTGCTCGTCCTTGACCTCGGCGAGCAGCTCCGAGAGACGCCTGACTAGAGTCGTTGTTAGCAAGGACACGTGAACGGATTGGACCGGGTCTGAGTCAACGGCATACCTTCGGCATCCAGAGGATCGGACTGGTACTCGGTCTCGCTGACGTAGACGACACCGTGGACGTTGAAGGAGACCTCCTTGCTGTTGGCGCCCCAGTGCTGGTTGCCGAAGCAGTAGGTGTATTTGCCGTCGTACTTGGCGTCAAAGTTGTGGTCGCCGTTGGACACGGACTTTTCGTTGATTTCGTACTGGCCGACGGGGTTGGTAATCTGTCATGATGGTGCTGTGGTTAGTTGTGACTCAAACCTTCAGGACAAACGTCATCTGCCTAGCAATCATGATTGCGCGGGTGACCATCAAGACACGTATGAACAACTATTCCATGCCAGGCAGACACTTGCAGGGGCAAGGGAGTGTTGCGCGGGAGGGGATGGGGGGGGGCGTACCCAAAAGTCGATGTCGAGGTTGCCGGCGCTGCCAAACTCGCGGTCGCCGACCTGGTAGGTGACGCTCATCTTGTCATCCTTGTGCAAGCTCTCGTGAAAGCACTCGAGGCCGTGGGCAGGCAGGACAATGTTGTGCGCGGAGGCGGTTGAGGCGGCGATGGCGACGGCGAGGACGGCCCTCGTGGCGGAGAGGAAGTGCATTGTGGATTGAGATTGGAAATATGGACGCCGATGCTGAAAAAAGAACCCAGAGAGAGAGAGAGAGAGAGAGAAAGTCGGGTTGGGCGCGCGGGCGGAATCAATGGCAATGGGCTTGGAGAAAGGGAAGCTCTGGCTCCTTGGATTTAGACGTGGATCCACGTATCGCGAATTGACACCTTTGCGCAAGACCAGAGGCGTTCCAGGAGCTTGCTATTGGTGGTTGCAGAGCCTCGTAGTTGAACCACTGTCCAGCCACTGTGGCTTGTGCGTAGTCCGTCCATAACAGGTACTAAGGTACCTACCGTGGCCTGTGGTGGCTCTCTCCCCTGCCCTGAAATTCAGGAGAGAAGATGGGCGGTCGCCGGGAGGAACCACAGTTTTGCGGATGCGGTACCGGAGCAGTACTTATTGAGGCGGGCGCTTTTGGCGTCGCTCTTGGTGTAGTCGCGTGCTCGGTGCAGGTCGCAGTGGAGTACAGTGGCAAGGAACGACTTTTTGTTTTCCTTTCCGACCGCCCCCCCCCCTTCAGACATCCGCTGAGCCCCTGTAGTTCCCAAATCTTGCAGGCCACTCACCCCTAAATTGTCCGCAGTTTAGTGGCCGCACTCCCTTGAGCTGCCCAACAAGAAGTGAAGTGGGCGCTGGAAATAGGGGAAATGCAAATTCGCGAAGAGCGGCGCCTGGTGGCACCTGGAGGGGTTCCTGTCACAGGGAAGTCGGCTGCTTGTGCAGGCTGTCCTGTCACCTTGTGCTTTGACCTGAACGCTTGGCTGGTGCTGGGCGGCCAGTGGCAACTGGCTCCCTCTCTCAGCTACAGGGAAGAAAAAAAAAGGTTCCGCTGTTGTTCTACACCGACAAAGCCTCCGGAGCCCCCCCAAAACATTAATCCCACCACAATCCAAACATCCTTTTTTTTGTGTTGCTTCTACACCCCTCCGACCTTCCAACGACGAACGCCCGACGAAAGAGTGAGTTGAAAACCCGCCGCCCCTCCCATTTCATCCTACATCGCCCTGCCTGCATACTTGTCGCTTTCCGTCCTGCTGGCTCTCCATCTACCTACTCCCGCCATTCGCCCGCCTGGCCTCTTACCTGCTGCCTGCGATTGCTCCAGAAAGAGGCCCTCCTTGCCCCCACACACGGCACCCAAAGATGACAACCCACGCATCGCCGCTCCGGTCCCAGCTGCTGCTGCCTGATCCAAGAGAGATTGTTTGATTCCGCGGCCTGGAAATCGCTCGAGCCGACGGCGCTGCCTGGCCATTTCGACTGGAAAGGTGTTCATGTGCCCATGGGTGGCGCGCGAGGCACATCTGTCCTCTGCGCCGCCATTGGGATAAATGGCTCGACATTGCGCGTCACGGCATCTCGCTGACCAGCAAGTGGAAGCACAGTCATCAATCCTACCCTTCATCAATTTCCCGTATTCACAACAAAGTTGGTTGATTTTTTCCTGCCCTCCTCCAATCGCGCATTTGCCTGCATCACCTAGCTGGCGTCATTGTTGGATCGGAGAGCGGGCCTGAAAAAACCCCTCCTTAGTTAAGCCATCCTCCGCCGCTAAACTAACCCGTGGCAACTAGACACTTCTCTTTCTCTCCCTCGTCAATCATCCCACCAAGACCACCCCCAAAACACGTCTACCTTACCTTTCCCGCTGAAAGCGTTGTCGTAGGCTCCGTCGCCAAAAGTCGCAAACATGGGTCTCGCTTTTTCCAAGTTGTTCGATAAGTTGTGGGGGAAGAAGGAGATGCGAATTCTCATGGTCGGTCTCGATGCCGCCGGTAAAACCACCATTCTCTACAAGCTCAAGCTTGGCGAGATTGTCACCACTATCCCTACCATTGGTACGCTCTCTCGATCCTGTCCGCCGCGCTTCCGCGCATTTTTTTTTTTTTTCGAATGAAGCGCGCGTCGTGATGCACCTCGGCCTCGGCTGCTCCGTCTCCGCGACTAACCCGCCCCCTTAGGCTTCAACGTCGAGACCGTCGAGTACAAGAACATCCAGTTCACCGTCTGGGATGTCGGTGGTCAGGACAAGATCCGTCCCCTCTGGAGACACTACTTCCAGAACACCCAGGGTATCATCTTCGTCGTCGATAGCAACGATCGTGACCGTATCGTCGAGGCCCGCGAAGAGCTTCAGCGCATGCTCAATGAGGACGAGCTCCGCGACGCCATCCTCCTGGTCTTTGCCAACAAGCAGGATCTTCCTGTGCGTATTCTCCTGCGTCTAGTCGCGCGCCCATCTACTCTCAACAACCTGAACTAACCTGTGCGCTTACAGAATGCCATGAACGCCGCCGAGATCACTGACAAGCTCGGCCTCCACAGCCTGAGACATCGCGGTTGGGTACGTCCATGTTCCTTCGCATCACGCTTCACGCTTCATTTCTCTACCCTGCGCAGCCTTTTTTTCTTTCGCTAATCGACATTTCAAAATAGTACATCCAGTCCACCTGCGCCACCTCTGGAGATGGTCTGTACGAGGGTCTTGAGTGGCTCGCCACTACCCTCCGCAAGGCTGGTCATCAGTAGAAGAACAATTGAGAGGCCACCTGATCAGCTCCTCGCCTTCTCCATCCTACTACCTTGTTTCGTACCCTCTCGCATCGGTTCCACATCAAAAATCGAAGGATTCGATTGTAATTTGCAGACTTGTATCGGTCAACAAAATCGAAATTAGTTCATAAACACAATATCGAATGTTTTCATTCGATGCTCCCCCGCCTACTTGTTTTGTCCTGTTTTCCTCCTATGGTGTATGCCCTGAGCTCCGTGTAGCTAGAGCAGCCTCTTGCTTCGTCTCCATTCTTTGTTTCTACGACTGCATTCTTGTCTTTGGGGGAACAACGCGTCTGTCGACTTTTGCGGTTTAGGGCGTACTCTTTCTTACGGCGTACAGAATTTGAAAAAGGGTGGAGTCTTTGGATCATTTCTTACACCCTATGGAGGAAACAACCTGGCAGTGAGTGAGTGGGCGGCAACCGAGGCATCGAATTTGGTTGTTGTATGGAAAATCGGAGAGATGGTGCAGAAATGGATGGATGACTGGACTATCGGAGAACAAGAGGAGGAAGAGGGTCTGGTCGATTCTTCGAAACGTTAAAAAACATGGGTGTCATGAAGTTCCGAGCTTTTTAGATGCGGTGTTTGTTTTGGTCTGGTTTACTTTTCTCTTGTTTTTCTGACTTCTTTTTTTACACGACTTGAAAAAGAAATCCAAATAATTTAACCCAAAAAGTTTCCTGTATTGAGTTTTATTGCCCAGTGCCTTATAACACACGAGATTGTGCTTGCCTCCTCTTTCTGCCTGAGATCAGAAACAGAGCGTAGTTGGGCCTCCATGAAAGGCCCCTACAAACTGAACAAGAGGTATTACCTCTCAGTACCGCACAAAAGTCACGGCTAAATCTGCCCATTGCTACCGAGGGCTGCAGGATGGGCAGCGAGTATGGGTGTGGGAGCTGCACGTGGGCACCTGCCTCCCAGAGCAGACAGGTGACCGATACAAGGAACGGCAGTGAAATGGATCATTCACATGCTCGGTGGGTGGAGAAGGTTAATCAGTCATAATTACGTTTTTTTATTTGTAGTGTTACATGTTTTCTTCTAATCCGTGGGTATCAACAATGAGAGGAGCGTGGTCTGATAATCCAAGTGGCCGCCTCCCATACAAGCAAAACGCAAGTATTCATAATCCAAAACGTCGTAACGGTGTTTTTTTTCTTTCAGTGTTTTTGAGTTTGTGTGTGATGTATCAAATCAAGCAGACGCGGCCGCCGGCGCAGCCTCTGCCGCTGAGCTGTTGGCCACGACCAAGCCCGACCCGTCGTCCTTGATGTGAACGGTCGCCGTCTCGCCCATCTTGAGCTTGCCGCGGATGATGTGGTCCGCGAGGCCGTTTCCAATCTCGTTTGTGATGAGGCGGTTGAGCGGGCGGGCGCCGTACTTGGGGTCGTACCCGCGGTCGGCGAGCCAGTCGCGGACGTCGTCACCGACCTGCAACACGATACGGCGGTCGTCCAGGCGCGCCTGCAGCTCCTCCAGGCGAATATCCACAATATCGCGGAGGGCGTCGCGCCCAAGCCGCTTAAACAGAATAAACGAGTCGATGCGGTTCAAAAACTCGGGCGGATATGCGTGCCCGACCACGTCCATGACGGCGGCGCGCACCGACGGATCCATCTCCCCGTTGGCGTCCTCCTTGTACGGGTGCAGCGGGTCCTGCCCGACGAGAATGTCGGCGCCGAGGTTGGACGTGAGCACGATGATGGTGTTGCGGAAGTCGACCTTGCGGCCCTGCGCGTCCGTCAGGTAACCCTCGTCGAGGACCTGCAGCAGCAGCGCGGCAATATCGCGGTGCGCTTTTTCAAACTCGTCGAGCAGCAGCACGGCGTACGGCTTGCGGCGCACCGCCTCGGTCAGCTGCCCGGCGTCGTCGTAGCCGACGTAGCCCGACGGCGCGCCAATCAGCCGCGAAATTGTGTGCTTTTCCTGAAATTCGGACATATCGAAGCGCACAACGGCCGACTCAGTGCTAAAGAGGAAGCCCGCCAGCTTCTTGCACAACTCCGTCTTGCCGACGCCTGTGGGGCCGAGAAAGAAGAAGGAGGCGAGCGGCTTGTGCTCGCCGCTCAGGCCGGCGCGCTGGAGACGCACCGCATCGGCGACGGCGCGGAGAGCGTCGTCTTGGCCCTTGACAGATGCGCGCAGGCTGTCCTCCATGTGCACCAGCTTCTCCATGTGCCCGGATGTCAGTTTGGTGACGGGAATGCCGGTGATGCGCGAGACAACGGTGCTAATGTCGTCGGCCGTGACGCTGTCGTGAATCAGGGCGCCGTCGCTGGGATGCTCCTGCTCCTTCTCGGACTCAGAGGGTAGCTTCTGCTCAAGGTCCGGAATGACGCCGAAGCGGAGCTCCGAAGCGCGTCCAAAGTTGCCGGTGCGCTGCGCCTGGTCCAGTTCGAAGCGCGCCTTATCGAGGTCTTCCTGGATCTTCTTGACGGCGTCGAGCTCCGACCTTTCCTTGTCCCAGCGGGCGTTGAGCTCGGAGATTTCCGCCTGGTTCTTCTTGAGCTCCTCCTCCAGCTTTGCTCGACGCTCTTTGCTGGCCACGTCTTTTTCCTTGCGCAGACTCTCCAGCTCAATCTGGATCGTCATAATCTTGTGGTCGAGGCGCATTATGTCCTCGGGCTTGGACTCGTGCTGCAGCTTGAGGTGGCTGGCAGCTTCGTCCATGAGGTCGATGGCCTTGTCGGGCAGGAATCGATCGGTAATGTAGCGGTTGGAGAGCGCGGCCGCCGCTACAAGAGCGCCATCGGTAATTCGGACACCATGGTGCACTTCGTACTTGTCTTTAATGCCCCGCAAAATGCTGATGGTGTCTTCCACTGTCGGTTCGTTGACAATGATGGGCTGGAATCGTCGAGCGAGCGCAACGTCCTTTTCGATGAGTCGGTATTCGGCAAGTGTCGTGGCACCACAGCATTGCAGCTCGCCGCGAGCCAAGGCAGGTTTCAACAGGTTGGAGGCGTCAATGGAACCCTCTGCCTTGCCTAGACCCAACAGGGTGTGAAGCTCGTCGATGAAGAGAATCACTTCGCCCTCGGCCTTTTGTACTTCGTCGAGCACCTTTTTCAGTCGCTCCTCGAAGTCGCCGCGAAACTTGGCACCGGCAATGAGCGAGCCTAGATCCAACGTAATGACGCGCTTGTTCTTTATGCTTTCGGGCACGTCGCCTTGAATGATGCGCAGCGCCAATCCTTCCAAAACGGCCGTTTTTCCGGTACCAGCGTTGCCAATCAGCACCGGGTTGTTCTTTGTTCGTCTGGACAAGATCTGTATCGTTCGTTGGATTTCGGCATCGCGGCCAATGACGGGGTCGAGTTTGCCATCACGGGCCCGGGCTGTCAGGTCGACACCAAACTGCTCCAGCGCCGGCTTCTCCTCTTCGCCGCTCATGTTCATGCGGTGTGTGCCTCCAGGTGGGTGAGGCCCTCGCCCACTTGCATAAGTTCTTATTCCTAGGGTCGGTAAAAGCCGAGCAGAGGCTGAATATCGAGCCAGAGCTCTTGCGCCAGCAATGGAGGCTGGTCTGTATGTTCGTGTGGCCGTACCAGCTAGGCGCTGGGCCGCCGTTACTATTTGTCGTCGAGCTTGCATATTGTGTAGAGAAATTTGAAGTTTGTTGGAAAGATCAGGAAACTCGAGGCTCTACCCATTGCTTTCCCACAAGCTGTCGGAGGTGGGCAATATCTAGTCCATTGCAACTGTTCTCGCTGGACGTTCTACAACTTTCTAGTGGACCTTGGAGCGTTCGCGTACCTTCTGTAGATTTTGGGAAACTGCCTGAGGCGATAGCGATAAGTAGCGGCAACTAAGTCGCATTAGGCCGCGAACGGCGGCCCCGGTGCACCAAACTCTGTATCTTATCTTCACGTGCAGCCAGCCCCGTACCCGCACACCGACTGGCCAAGGCAGGTACGTAGTTGCGCCGTAAGCGGCTTAGTGTCAGAGGGTTCACATTTTGCTTCCCACAAACTCGCCTAGCGGCTTTCACAAGAAATCTTAACATTTTGGGCCTGACCATCACGAACCGCCTTTCCTCCCTCTCCACACCTCGATACCAGACACAACAGAGAGTCAAAATGTCGACAAAGCCCACGTCCAAGAAGTTCGGCAAGTCGACCCGGGAGGTTCCCGCGGCGGCGGATAAGGCCAAGAAGTGGTACAACGCCGACGACGAGTCTGACGCCAAGCAGGTGAGTTTGGATGATGATGATGGGCACTGGCACATGCAAGCATCGCGATATATCTTTGGAGGCAAAACACATTCGGTACACGATGGAAAGCAAGGCGACACTGGTTGAGCATTGGCGACGATATCGAAGGCGACTATTGGGAAGCATTACCCGCGCCGCGACAACATCACACGCCAAATCATACCTCGACCGATGAAGGAAAACCACCGGATCAACCAAGGCCGAGCCGACTTTAAGGGATGCGCAATCGCTTTCGTCTGCGTCTGTTATCTACCGGAAATGTGTTGGCCGAAAAATGATATTTGCCTGTTTTGTGTGCTCGGTTGGCCGTGACATGTTTTTGTCACAAGGGCAAAGCGAAACTGACCATGAATTTTCTCGACAACAGGTTCGCAAGGCTGTCCGCGCCTGGGCACCTCGCGCCTCTCTGCAACCCGGCACCGTGCTGATCCTCCTCGCCGGTCGCTTCCGCGGCAAGCGCGTTGTCCTCCTCAAGAACCTCGAGCAGGGCGTCCTCCTCGTTACCGGCCCCTTCAAGATCAACGGTGTCCCCCTGCGCCGCATCAACGCCCGCTACGTCATCGCCACCTCGGTCAAGGTGGACGTCTCCGGCCTCGACCAAAAGAAGTTGGACGAGATTGCTCAACCAAAGTACTTCATCGCCGACAAGGCCAAGGAGAAGGCTGGCGCCGACGCCTTCTTCAAGCAGGGCGAGAAGCCCCAGGTACGAATCCGAAACTCCCTCATAACTGGTTTCTCTTGACTCGGGTTTTGGCGAGATGGGACGAGAAACTGGTAGCCGCAAAACTAAGCTTACTAACGTACCTGTGCAGAAGAAGCAGATCACCACCAGCCGTGCGGCCGACCAGAAGGTCATCGACAAGGCTCTGCTTGCTAGCATTAAGAAGGTCGAGATGCTCCCCAGCTACCTCGGCAGCTCTTTCTCCCTGCGAAAGGGTGACAAGCCCCACGAGATGGCTTGGTAAATGTCCGATAACGAGAAAAGAAAACAAAAAAGCACAGAAAGAGCAGAAGAGCAGAACAAAAACAAACCACTTTTTCCACACATAGTTGCCTCTTTTTTTTTTCATAATGCGAATCTAAACGTCTCATTACCATGTCTTCTTTCTTTCTCAGAGAGACGAGGAGGAAACATTCGGGAACGAACGGTGTGGATTCTGCGGTTTGTGATGTGAGATTGGGGACCTTGTTGGTTGAATGCTGGTTGCTCTTTGCGCTTCCTCGTGCTTTTTTGTCTCTTCTTGACTCGGTTTTTACGGATATCATGTTTAGGCCGGAGACAAAAAAGAACAAAGTTACGAACAAGGAAAGGCGAAAGCGACAAGGAAAGAAAAAAGAGGGCAAAGACGGAATGGTTGGCCTCTTTGCCTGCCTGCCTCTTGATACATTTTTTTTTCCTCTTGATTTTTTTTACGAATGGGTTCTTGATTCGGACAGAGGCCGAACGGGGGGGTTGTCGCGACGACTGCTGTTCAGAGACGAGGATTTGGTGTTGTAGAAATGGAAATTGGGATTTTCGACCCTCTCTGCATTTGGAAGTCGAAACGGGCATTCGGTCACATATTGGCGTCTGTAACTAGGGTTTTACAGTCAAAGAAATTTCAAAAAAGACCATTGACAAATTTAAACTCATAAACATGCATTTGGCGTCTGTACCAGAGACAACGTACACCTCTAGTAGTAGTACGCTCTTGCTCGCTTCCTCGAGCTGGCTTGGGTCCGCAGCGCGGGTGAGAGTGGGTATACTGAACGCACAATGCTCAAAACAGTGGGTGTGTGACTGAATTATTGTCTATATCATCTCTGTTTCTGCAGATATTCCTAATAACCTAGTTTTCGTTCGTCTATATATACAAAACCTTTCTTCTGTTTTACAGCTTACGGTCAGCCCAACTCTGGAGGAATGCCTCCAGACTGGCATCGTACGTCTTTAAAGTGACCTTCCCGGTAGCCTCGTCGAGATAAGTGTTGGCCTGAACAAAGACCTTGCGCGGCTGCCTGTTTGCGAGGACAGTGTCGCGGACCTTGGTTCCCCAAAAGTCCAGACCGACGTCGGTCATGCGGTTGTAAAGCTCGAGGCCCGACTGGATGTCGGCGGTGCTCTTGTAAATGTGAAGTTTCTGCAGGTAATCTCCAACAGCTAATTACAAAGGATTAGCGTTTTTTTTTTCAAAGATGGGTTAGTGTAAGGAAGGAGCTGTAAAGGTGCCTACCTTTGCGGCCAACTGTGAGAATCTTGGAGCGGTCGAGGTTGAGAATCAGATCTGACAGATCGTCCTTGGTGTATTCAAGCTTGCAAAAGTCATCACCAGCCTCAATGAAACACTTCAGGATACTGAAGCGAGCCTGCGAGTGCGCTTGCCCCCACTTCTGGCTCTTGGGATCCCACATCTCGACAGCGCCGAGACCTGCTCGAGCCATGCCCAGGTATGAGGCGTAGAGAATATCACCAGCTTCATTGTCCATGTTCTCAGTGCCGTCGCCGAATCCAAAGATCTTGAGGACCTTAAAATCACAGGCCAAGTACATGGCGACAAGCTCTGCACGACACTCTTCATACGAGGCAGCGATGGCTCCAAAAACCGATCCCCAGGTCTCGCCGGGCTTGTACCAGGTCGAAACAGGCTTCTGTGTAATAGGGGAAGTAGGAGGGCTAGCTCTGTCAAAATTGAAGACGCCAGAAGCAGTTTCCTGGAGAAGCTTGCCGCAACCGTGGCCTGTGGTGTGTTAGTATGATCTTGTTCGCATGACAGAAGTGTAATCTCGGACTCTTACCAGTCAACTCATGTAGGCCAACCTGGACTTCGAAGGAGGGCTCGCGATACTTGGCAAAAATGGCAAGATCTGCTTCTTTGATGAAGGGGATCTTCTCATTGGGGTTGGTGGCACTCATGACGTTGCCCAAAGACACGTTCTTGAAACCCTCATTTTGACGAATATCGTCAAAGTTGGGAATGTTGATACCCGCGGGAATACCGGCGCCGTTGAAGGTAAGAACTTCTAGGGAGGTAAAGTCCGGGGCCAGGAACTTATCCTTTTCAAAATCGGCACTCCAGGGCAGCAGAGGGATAAGTCGGGGCGAGGCATCAACGAGCTCGCCAAAAGCACGAGTGCGCTCCTGGTTGACCATGGCAACAAAGCCTTCGAACTCGCCGCGAACACCGGCAGGGTCGCGGTATGTCTCAACAAAGCCAATGTTGCACTCGATCGCGGGACTTTTGTCCTTGATCCACCAACGCTGACTGTCCTTGAAAGAGTTGTGGGAACCAGACGAGAAGGCCTTGGCATAAGCCAGATGCATGTTCTTCTGGTTCTCGTTGGCAGCGTTTTCAGCAGCACTCTCGAGGTTCTTGGCAATGTTGGCCATTTCAGTAGCGTAGTCTCCAAATATGAGCTTGATAGTCTTTCCTTGGAGAGCACCAGCCTCGATAATAAACTCGGTCTGTTTGCCAATGTCGGTGCCGTCAGTAGGGGGCGATGTGGCGCCGGACGCAATCAGGATCTCAAAGCCCTCGCTCTTCTTGCGCAGTCTGGTATTTTCGGGGAGCAGGTTTTTATCAGCCATCCAGGTGTTGACAGCTTCAATATCGGCCTTGGTGATGTCATCAGAATCAGGGTAGTAAGTGGTCGTGTGGCCGTCATCGAGGAAGCCAAGGTGCATCTTGAGCTGCTGAGAGTGGTCAAAGATGGCAGTCTTGCACTGCTCGTAGTGCTTGGCCGCCTCGGGAACTGATGCAGCGATGGCATCTACCGACTTCTCGGTGCAACGAGGCAGGAATTTGGCGTCACCAAAGCTTTTGAAGTTACCCAGGTTGCCGAGGACTTGGACAGAGTATTCTAGGAGCCTCGAGACCTCATCAGCCTCAACACCAGCCTTGGCGGCGAGCGAGGACCAGTCACCATTGCAGCTGTTGTGGATGGCAATGACAAAGTCATAGATTGCCTCAGCTTCGAACGAAGTCTGGCGTAAGCCGATTCTGGTACCAGCAAAGGCGGCCCTGTGTTGTCTGTTAATCTCGGGCGCCGTTGGCAGCTGCAACGCTTCGGAGGTGCTCTTACCGGCTGATGAAATGGCTGTAGCGCTTCTGCTCATCAGACAGAAGCTCGAAGTGCTGCTCAATCTTGAGCGGCATAACCAGGGGTGGCTGGTCAGCCAGGTACTGCTGAAGCTCTGCGGGCTGCATTGTAGAGGAGTGTCGACCGAGCGACGCTGGGGTAAATGGTATGCGACGATGAAAGACAGGAAGAGAACGGCGGATAGCAACTCTCGGTGGCAGCCTTTGAGCGATTGCAGTGAGGGGAAGACGGAAAGTCATGAAAAAATAGTGTGCGAGGTGGCTTGTGGGAGCGGCTAGTCTTATGCACGAACGACTGCACGAATTGAATGCCGCACTGCGCTTTCTCACGGCCCGTGGTGGCGTGTCACCTGGGTGCCGCCTGAGACGAAGGGTTCTGCGGGCGGAGAGGCGGGGGACCTTGCAGTTGGAGAATCTTCGACTTGCCTAATGAGGCTACTGTGTGGTGCGACAGTGGGTGCTCGAGTCGAGTTGGGCGGGAGGTAGGCTGCCGAAGGGAATTGGTGGCGTAATTGGATGAAATAAACGAGCTCGGTGTGTTGAAATGCTATTAGTTATTATTATGGTGGATGATGGTGGTGATGATGAGTTGCAAAGTGTAGCGGCTGTTGGATTTCGACAAACGGTCCGGCAAGCTTGGACCCCTGGCAGCTGGCGGTTGACAACGGCCGGATTAAAATTAATGCCCCGGCGGAACACCGTAACTAACGGAACGTTACGGACGTTGCTTTTTGTCTTATCCTCTCAATTGACACGAGTATCCAATCTGCTACTGTTACCATGCCAAGAGTTACAATCCTCGGGCCCGATCCCGAACTGAGATGGGCATGGTGCCAATTGAGCCCTCGTTCGCGTTGGAGGCTGACAACAGAAGAGGATAGTCGCACCACCACTTGAACTTTGCTCAACGGCCCCCACACGTCTAGACTACTAAGTTGTGCCGCCGCCCCAACGCTAACTATTGTTCTTTTTGAATAATACGCCGAAGAATTCTTCAGCGCCACAAGCGGGGTCACCTATTGCTTGCAGTTTATCAATTGCTTGCAGTTTATCAATTGCTCGCAGCTTATCAATTGCTCGCAGCTTTCTTGCAGGAGCTTTTGTGGCGACTTAGTCCGGGTAGTGGGGTATTACCTCAGGTACCAATTCTCAGATATGGCGGGAACAAGCCGAACAGCTACCTACCGGGAGGGGGCTATTTTCTAACATAGGCTAGTCCACATTTTAGGGGGCTAACATATCTTACACTAGCTAGCGAATATAGTATATAGCATGATAGACTTTTAAAGGGGCATATAGTTAATCCTAAAATACTAATATAAATTAATATAATATAATTTTTTTAATATACTTTAAATATAGTAATATATATTAATAATATATAAAAAATATACTACTTATATTATTTATTAAGAATATTATATAATATCTTATAAATACTTTTTTTTAGCTATACTATTTTTTTAAAATAGTATTATAACTTTATAATCTTTTAAATATAATAAAAGCTTTTAATTCTATATTAATATTTTATTTCTATAGTACTATATAATAAATAGACTTTAAGTATTTATAATACTATTAGTAGGCTTAATATATATTTAGAGTATAACCTATTTCTTTTAAAAAAGATACCTTTAGTAATAGAATAGGGGGGGGGGATCTAGTATATAAATACTAGCCTAGCTTTACTAACCTAGGTATATAACTAGCCTTACTTAGGTAGGTAGGTATCTAGTAGAAATTTAATTTATAGTTTAAATTAGGCTAATAAAAGTAGTAAAGCTTAGTAATTATTAATATATAGTAAAGTAAAGGTATTAAAGCCTATCCTATTCTAGGTATTACTATAAGCTATTTAGTAAGTAGGACTTACTATATATTACTAGAATACTAAATACCTCTACCTTTACTATCTATATTATATACTCTTTAAAATACCTTCTTATATAGCTCCTAGCTTTTTAAAGTTTTTAATATAAAAAGAACCTAATACTATAATTATTTATAAGTTATATATTATAAAAAGAAATTATAGTAAAAAAACCTAAAGATAAAACTATATAACTAATTCTTTATTATAAGAAGAATCTCTTACTACTTAAGCTAAAATATAAATAAAAATAGCTAGATAATAGCTATTAGTAAAATTTACTTTAATATAAATATATTAAAAATAAACCTACTTATACTTTATATAGGCTAAATCTTATTATTTACTTAGATGCTTAGTAAGCTCTAAGCTTACTAATAGGTTCTCTTTATAAATATTAAAATCAAGGTAAGAAAAAAAATATAGTACTTCTTTAGAGTTTTAATTTATTATAGTATATTATAATAAGGACCTTTAGTAATAACTAAATCCTAAGCTCTTAAGGTAGGACCTAGTAGTATTTAAGGATAAGGGGATATTACTACTAAGTAGAGGATTAATTAATACTAATATAAAGATATAATATTAAAGAATAGGATAAATATAAATTAAATCTTAAATTCTATAATACCTTTATTATACTAGTAGCTAGGAGAGGTAGGTTAGATAGGATTAAGAAAAGTAATATTTCTAAATAGTAATAAGGGAGGTAGGACTAGTATAACCTATTCTACTTCTAGTTTACTAGTAGTAAATAATATAGTAGAATTATTAATAGGTCTAGAAAAGGTAGGCTTTAACTTTTTTAATACTTTATTATCTTCCTTAGTAATAGGAGATACTTAAGATTACTTATAAGTAATAAGTATCTACTTTATAATAAGTATCTACTTTATAGTAGTAGCCCTCTTCCTAGAAGTAGTAGGAGTCTTAAGAGTAATAAGCTTTCTCTTTAGGGTAATAGGCTTCTTCTTAGGGATAGGGCACTTAAGCTTATAAGTAGGACTACCTCCTCCTAAGGTTAAGGTAGTAAGCTTAGGTATATTACCTAAGAGCTTATTATCCTTAAAATTATCTATATTATACTTCTTAATTATACTATGCTTAGTGTTTAAGTCTTCTTTAACTAGGATAGTCTTCTTTTTCTTTATACCTATAGTATATATTAGTAAAAAGATTAAGTATAGATATACTTTCTTATATAGAATAAACCTACTACTTTTTACTTAGATCTATAGGTAGTATACTCCTTTTAAATAAAGCTATATCTATTAATATTAGGCTTATAGTAGCCTTTAATATAGTTAGAATTAAATACTAGAGTTCTCTTCTTTAATATTCTATAACTAGAGTTTACTAGAAATAAAAACTTAAAATTATTAAGTATTACTAAGCCTATTATAAAGGTATAAATTCTAAGTATAATATTAGGATACTTAGTTATAAATATATTCTAAGCTAAGCTAAGCTAGGATTTATCTCTATTCTTAATCTATAGAGTATAGAGAAAATTTATAGTAGTTAGATAGACCTTTAAATCCTTTAGGCCTAGAAGGCTTATATCCTAGAGAGTATAGTATAATAGGTTGCTAGAGTTATAGTTAGTAGATTTCTTAGGAATAATAATAAGAGGATTTACTTACTTTATTTTCTTTATAGCCTTAAATATAATAGCTTTAGTTATTAATAGACTAGTAATAGGCTTAGTAGCTTAAGATAACTTAGGGGTACTTATATTAATTATTATTATAAGAAATAAGGGTTTTTTACTAGCCTTATACTTATACTTAAAAGATAGGATAGAATAGTAATAAATTAAAAAGATATAGTAAAATAGGTAGTAAGAAGCTTAAGATTATCCTCTTATAAAGAAATAATAATATAGAAGGGAGGTATTAAAAGAGAGAGAAAAGAAGCTAGTAGGAAAGGAAATAGGAATAAGGGTAGCTATATTTATTTACTAAGCATAATACTAATATTATACTATTTAAAGAATATAAATAGCCTTAAATAGGAATCCTAATATAAAGGGGTTAAACTTATACTATAAATACTATATATATATAGTTATTAATATAATCTTAGCTATTAATACTAGTAAAATATTACTAGATAATACTTAATCTTTAATATTAGAAATAAGTATAAGGCTAGTGCTTTTATTTCTTTATACCTTATAGTAGAAATTTTTCTATAGGTATATATATTACCTAGTATTTTCCTTTCTTAATTACCTACTCTCCTTTTACTACTATACTTTATACTAGCAATACTATTACTATTACTACCTTCTTTTCCTTAGCTTCCTCCTTTTCTTCTTTTTATTCTAGCTTATCTTCTAGTTTATTATAGTATCTTTTCTTTCTTTATTAGAGCTAGGAGTATATATAATATCTTATTAAAATAAAATAATTATATTACTATTATTTAGATCTAGAATCTCTATACTTTTAGTCTATACTAGGTTATTTAGAATAGTAGTAGTTAAGTCTTCTTTCTTTATACTTTATTTTATAATCTTAATAGCTTTTAATATATTTTATAATACCTCTTTATAAATTATATTAAACTAGCTCTTATTAGTACTTACTAAGAGGGAGGGTAATACTATTAGCTAAGGAGTTTACTCTAAAGGTAGTAGAGAGGAAGTAGAATTATTACCTACTATTTTATTATAATAAGAACTTTATAAGAGTTATATATTTTAATTAGTAAAAGAAGAAGAGAAGATACCTAGAAGAAAAGCTTACCTAGCTTATAGAAAGAAGTAATATATACCTAGGTTAGAAGAAAATTTATTTAAGGTAAGGAGTAAATAGCTAGGGTAATAATATAATAAGGTAGTTAGGTTAGTAATTATATAATATTAGCTATATTTCTTCTAAATAAAAGCTAAAATATTTCTAGTAAAAAATAATTATTATTCCTTCTAGTTATTATTATACTATTTATTTTATAATATATACTATATATACTCCTTAGAATTCTAGGCTTAATAAAAATAAGTAACCTATATAGTGCCTAGTAAATTAAAATACTAATATAGATAAAGCGCTACCTAAAGTCTATACTATTAAGACTAAAGCTATAAAAATAAATAAGTACTAAGTTAATATAGAGAAAAAACCTAATAAGGGTAGAAAAATCCTAGTTATATAAGTTATATTACTACTAAACCGGTTATTATTCTACTCCTAGAGGCTTCTAATATTAAAGTTATATAAGTAAGGATTAA